CTCATCCGCATGGCCGATACCATCATCATCAGCATCACTGTGTCGCCATTCAGAGCGGCCACCAAATACTCTGAACGTGGAGGGGAAAGACCGGAGGACACTTAGACACAATCCACACTGAGACCACCACGGGGAGAGAGACACAGAGAAAGAGACGCAGACTCCACATACACAGCAGCAGCAGCAGGCGTTGTCAGGGTCGGGATCGAACCCACGACCTCCTGTGTACCAGGCGAGGTAGTCAACATCTCCTAGCCACCGTGATGATGATGAAAGACACGCAAACTTCAAATATACAGCAGCAGGCGTCGTCAGGGTCGGGATCGAAACCACAACCTCCTGCGTATCAGGCGAGGTAGTTAACGTCTCCTAGCCACCGTGATGATGAGAGAGAGACGCAGACTCCACATTCACAGCAGCAGCAGGCGTCGTCAGGGTCGGGATGGAAACCACGACCTCCTGCGTACCAGGCGAGGTAGTCAACATCTCCTAGCCACCGTGATGATGATGAGAGAGAGACACAAACTCCAAATATACAGCAGCAGCAGGCGTTGTCAGGGTCGGGATCGAACCCACGACCCCCTGTATAGCAGGCGAGGTAGTTAACATCTCCTAGCCACCGTGATGATGATGAGAGAGACACAAAAACTCCACATACACAGCAGCAGCAGCAGGCGTCGTCAGGGTCGGGATCGAACCCACGACCTCCTGTGTACCCGGCGAGGCAGTTAACATCTCATAGCCACCGTGATGATGATGAGAGACACACAAACTCCACATACACAGCAGCAGCAGGCGTTGTCAGGGTCGGGATAGAACCCACGACCTCCTGCATACCAGGCGAGGTAGTCAACATCTCCTCGCCACCGTGATGATGAGTGAGAGAGAGACACACAAACTCCACATTCACAGCAGCAGCAGGCGTCGTCAGGGTCGGGTTTGAACCCACGACCTCCTGTGTACCACGTGGTGCTGCTGCTGCTCGCTACGAACAGCACTTGCCCCTACAGCCTGTTGAGGCTACACGGGGGATTTTTGTCGCGTGAGTGAATGGCCTCATTGTTGTTGTTGGGCGTGAATGTTCACGCTAACCACTGCACCACCGCTCCCCACTCTCACACACAAACACACCGCACAATGCAGCTCTACTACTTACAATGCGAGCGTGACGTACAAACGTCTCATGCACCAAACACACCGTGCATGCACACACCACGTGTACACACACACACCACGCACACACACCACACACACCACGTGTACACCCCGTGCACACACACACACCACGTGTACACACACCACACACACGCCACGCACACACACACCACGTACACACACACACCACGTGTACACACACACACCACGTGTACACACACACACCACGTGTACACACACACACCACGTGTGCACACACACCACGCACACACACACCACGCGCACACACACCACGCGCGCACACACCACGCACACACACACACCACGCACACACACACCACGTGTACACACACCACGTGTACACACACACCACGCACACACACACCACGCACACACCACGCACACACACACCACGCACACACACACACCACGCACACACACACACCACGCGTACACACACATCACGCACACACACACCACACACACACACACCACGTGTACACACACACCACGCACACACACACCACGCACACACACCACGTGTACACACACATCACGCACACACACACACCACGCACACACACCACGTGTACACACACATCACGCACACACACACACACCACGCACACACACCACGTGTACACACACCACGCACACACACACACCACGTGTACACACACCACGCACGCACACACCACGTGTACACACACACCACGTGCACACACACACACCACGCACGCACACACCACGCACACACACACACACCACGCACACACACCACGTGTACACACACACACCACACACACCACGTGTACACACACCACGCACGCACACACACCACGTGTACACACACACACCACGCACACACACCACGTGTACACACACACACCACACACACCACACACCGCACACACCACACACCGCACACACACACACACTGCACACACACACACCGCGCACACACACACCACGCACACACACACCACACACCGCACACACCACACACACACACCACGCACACACCACGTGTACACACACACACCACACACACACACACACACCACGCACACACACAGACACACCACACACACACACCACGCACACACACCACGCACACACCACGTGTACACACACACACCACACACACACACACACCACGCACACACAGACACACCACGTGCACACGACGTAGCTAAACTGTGTACACACACACACACGTGCAGTGTGCATATCGTGCACACACAACCCAGCATAGACTCGTTACACAACGTAAACATTACCCTGAACATAACAACGCGCATGCCCAATGTATACACAACGCACATACACTGTATATACACAACTTCTACACACAGTCCATGCAACGTGCACACAACGTTCACACGACGTCCAATCCTTCCAGAACACCGCTCCCCGTGGCCGTGCCAGGCTAGGTGCACCTTGAGACGACCACGTGCAGTGAGTGTTCGCAAGAACTCAGGTTGCACACAGACAAAGGTCCCCCGTGTAGCCTCTAACAGGCTGTAGGGGCAAGTTCTGTTAGCGAGCAGCACCTACTAAGGCTACCGGCGCTGTGGCACACGAGGGGTGGGTGGCCAGCCCCACGCCCGGCCGCCTTTGTCTCTGTGTGTGTGTTACACACACAGAGACACACACACAGTGTGAGTGTTACACACACACAGACACACAGTGTGTGAGTGTTACACACACTCACAGTGTTACACACACACAAACACACACTGTGTGAGCGTTACACACACACAGACACACAGTGTGTGAGCGTTACACACACACAAACACACACAGTGTGTGAGTGTTATACATACACAGACACACACAGACACAAACACACAGCGTGTGAGTGTTACACACACACACAGTGTGTGTGTGTGTGTAACACACACAGTGTGTGAGTGTTACACACACACAGACACACACAGTGTGTGAGTGTTACACATACACAGACACACACAGACACAAACACACACAGCGTGTGAGTGTTACACTCACACACACACAGTGTGTGAGTGTTACACACACACAGTGTGTGAGTGTTACACACACACAGACACACACAGTGTGTGAGTGTTACACATACACAGACACACACAGACACAAACACACACAGCGTGTGAGTGTTACACTCACACACACACAGTGTGTGAGTGTTACACACACACAGTGTGTGAGTGTTACACACACACAGACACGCACACACACAAACACACACAGCGTGTGAGTGTTACACTCACACACACAGTGTGTGTGTGTGTGTAACACTCACAGTGTGTGAGTGTTACACACAGACACACACACACAGTGTGTGAGTGTTACACACACACAGACACACACAGTGTGTGAGTGTTACACACAGACACACACAGTGTGTGAGTGTTACACACACAGACACACACAGTGTGTGAGTGTTACACACACACAGACACACACAGTGTGTGAGTGTTATACACACAGACAGACACACACAGTGTGTGAGTATTATACACACACAGACACACACAATGTGTTACACACACAGACACACACCCTGTGTCACACACACACAGTGTTACACACACAGACACCCTGTGTTACACACACACACAGTGTTACACACACAGACAGCCTGTGTTACACACACACACAGTGTTACACACACAGACACCCTGTGTTACACACACACACAGTGTTACACACACACCCTGTGTCACACACACACACACAGTGTTACACACACACACAGTGTTACACACACACAGTGTTACACACACACACAGTGTTACACACACACACAGTGTTACACACACAGACACCCTGTGTTACACACACACACAGTGTCACACACACACACAGTGTTACACACACACACACAGTGTTACACACACACACAGTGTTACACACACACAGTGTTACACACACAGACACCCTGTGTTACACACACACACAGTGTTACACACACACCCTGTGTCACACACACACACACAGTGTTACACACACACACAGTGTTATACACACACACAGTGTTACACACACACCCTGTGTTACACACACACACAGTGTTACACACACACACAGTGTTACACACACACACAGTGTTACACACACACACACCCTGTGTTTACACACACACACACAGTGTTACACACACACACACAGTGTTACACACACACACCCTGTGTTACACACACACACAGTGTTACACACACACACACACCCTGTGTTACACACACACCCTGTGTCACACACATCACACACCCTGTGTTATACACACACCACACCCTGTGTCACACACACACACACAGTGTTCCACACCCCACACAGTGTTACTACACACACACAGTGTTACACACACACCCCGTGTTACACACACACACAGTGTTACACACACACATCCCTGTGTTACACACACACAGTGTTACACACACACACCCTGTGTTACACACACACAGTGTTACACACACACACACACAGTGTTACACACACACACACCCTGTGTTACACACACACACAGTGTTACACACACACACACCCTGTGTTACACACACACCCTGTGTCACACACACACACACCCTGTGTTACACACACACACACCCTGTGTCACACACACACACACACACCCTGTGTCACACACACACACACCCTGTGTTACACACACACACCCTGTGTCACACACACACACACACCCTGTGTTACACACACACACACCCTGTGTTACACACACACACACCCTGTGTTACACACACACACACAGTGTTACACACACACAGTGTCACACACACACCCTGTGTTACACACACACACACAGAGAGACGAGAGAGACACGAGGCGCGTCGCTGCCGTTGACCTACCGCCAGTCTCGCGATGCTCTCCCCTCACGACGCTTCGTGCAGCAGCAGCACCACGACGATGACCCCCCCCCCACCCCAACGAGTCTTGCTCGTTAGCAGCAGCAGTAGCAGCAGTAGCAGCAGTAGCAGCAGCAGTAGCAGCAGTAGTAGCAGCAGTAGAAGTGGCGATAATAACAAGAGACGCGTGAACTGCGCGTTGTCGCTACGGTGGGAAGACGCGAAGCCACAACGCGAGGCCTACCGCAGGCTTCAACTCAAACTCGCTCCCCTCGCGCGCCCGCTCGCCTTGCGCTGTGAGGAGACGCTCGCTCGCTGTCTCCCTCAGTCTCTCTCTCTGTCTCCTGGTTGTTGTTGTTGTTTGTTGTTGTTGTTTGTTGATCGGCGTTTTTCGCGGGAGCTGAATTCGCGGTGTGAGCGGCGCCCCTAACGGCGCGCGGCGGCGGCGGCGCGGGGAGTCACGTGACCCGCGGCGCGCGCCATTGTCACGGGGGGCGGGGTGGGGGGGGCGGAGCTTAACTGGAAGCACGGGGGGGGGGCTGTGATTGGATGAGAGCTGAGAAGGTGGGCGTGGTCAGTGGGTTGGGTGGGGGGGGAGAGGTGAGGGGCGGAGCTTAACTGAAAGCACGGGGGGGCTGTGATTGGATGAGAGCTGGGAAGGTGGGCGTGGTCAGTGGGTTGGGTGGGGGGGGAGAGGTGAGGGGCGGAGCTTAACTGAAAGCACGGGGGGGGCTGTGATTGGATGAGAGCTGGGAAGGTGGGCGTGGTCAGTGGGTTGGGTGGGGGGGGAGAGGTGAGGGGCGGAGCTTAACTGAAAGCACGGGGGGGGCTGTGATTGGATGAGAGCTGGGAAGGTGGGCGTGGTTACTGGGTTGGGTGGGAGGGGAGGTGAGGGGCGGAGCTTAACTGAAAGCACGGGGGGGGCTGTGATTGGACGAGAGCTGGGAAGGTGGGCGTGGTCAGTGGGTTGGGTGGGGGGGGAGAGGTGAGGGGCGGAGCTTAACTGAAAGCACGGGGGGGGCTGTGATTGGATGAGAGCTGGGAAGATGGGCGTGGTCACTGGGTTGGGTGGGAGGGGAGGTGAGGGGCGGAGCTTAACTGAAAGCACGGGGGGGGCTGTGATTGGACGAGAGCTGGGAAGGTGGGCGTGGTCAGTGGGTTGGGTGGGGGGGGAGAGGTGAAGGGCGGAGCTTAACTGAAAGCACGGGGGGGCTGTGATTGGACGAGAGCTGGATAGATGGGTGTGGTTGGGGGGAGGTTCAGAAGCACGGGGCTGTGATTGGACGAGAGCTGGGTAGGTGGGGAGAGTGAATGGGTTAGGGGGGAGAGGGAGAGGCGAAGGGCGGAGCTTAGCGGCAAGCACGGGGGGCTGTGATTGGATGGAACCTGAGTAGGTGGGGGCGTCATTGCAGAGGAGGGGCTATAAAAGAGGTGGGGGTAGAGAGAGGGGGGGGGAAGGATTGCGGGGTTGTGATTGGTCGAGAGCTGGGTAGGTAGGCGTGGTGGAAGTAAAGGGAGGGGGTCTTTTCGATTTGAAGCTTCTTTCGTGACTGCAGGGATTCATCTTCTTGGTTCTTTCGGTAAAGTCACGTAGAAGGGAAGTAATAAAATAATAAAAATAAAACATAATAAAATATATAATTATATTTTTTATTATGTTTCATTGTTATTATTATTTATTACTAAATAATAAAAACATAAAAAAATATTATTATTTTATTTTATTATGTTTTATTTTTATTATTTTTTTACTAAATAATAAAAAACATAATAAGTGATATTATTATATTATTTAATTATGTTTTATTTTTACTATGTTATTACTTCCCTTCTACGTGACTTTACCGAAAGAACCAAGAAGAAAAAAAGGAGGGGGTCTTGTCTAAAGTAGGCGTGGACAAAGGGCGGGTTAAGCCGTGAGGTGACGAAACCTGGGTATTTGGGTGTGGTTAGTGATGAGTGGGAGTATGTAGACTAGCCGTAGACTCAAGCCGCACCTTACCATAACAAAGGCTCAGTCCTTTGTTATGTAGACTAGCCGTAGTGTCAAGCCGCACCTTACCATAACAAAGGCTCAGTCCTTTGTTATGTAGACTAGCCGTAGTCTCAAGCCGCACCTTACCATAACAAAGGCTCAATCCTTTGTTATGTAGACTAGCCGTAGTGTCAAGCCGCACCTTACCATAATAATAATAATTAACCCGTAAAAACTAAGTTTTTCACTATAAATCCTTTATATGCGTGGCGGCTAGAGTCCTCTCGTCCTCTGGCTTGAGATGGCTGCCACCTATGGGTCAGATGATTATCTGCCACCATTAAGCAATTGGTAAATAAATATTTTAAAAAAATTCCCTAAACAGTGTAAAATTTTGGAAAAAAATTTTCACGAAAATAAATTGTCACACACAACGAGTCTGTGTGCAAAATGTCAGCTCGATTGGATCACGGGAAGTGGGTTAAAAAACGACCGAAAGATTTGCACGGTCGTAAGCAAGCAAACAAGCACGCAAGCACGCAAGCAAGCAAGCAAGTGAACTTGCATGCAGGACCAACCAATATGCCGCCAAGGCCCCGCCTATGTGTAAGTCCCAGTCCGTCTGGGTGTCATTGAACACCTGACACAGCATGGATGTGATGCTGCGATTTAGGCATTCTACCTAAATTCGTATTGGTTTTGAGGAAAATGTTTTACCCTGGTCAGTTAGAAGTTTTTCAGGGGCCCCTTGATCCATAACATATCCGCGTACAAAGGCTTCTGCTATTGACCGAGCGGTTTGATCCGCCAGGGGTCACGCCACCGGCCACAACGTGAAGTACTCGACCCTACTAGTAGACATTTGTGACCCCTGTTGGTGCGAGGTAGGGGTCCCTATACATCCAAGGCCACCAATTAGTCTTCTCGCAAAACCTCTATTGATTGTAGGGGCACTTTGATCAGGTGTGCTGGCAGCTTTCACCACGCACATTCTACACATGAAGCCGTCCATGCGCGGCAGAGGTTGCCAACGGGTTTTGATTCCTTACCCGTACCCGGCCGCACCAGGGTCGCAAACGGGTACCCGTACCCGGCCTTACCCGTACCCTACCCATAACCGGTCGGGTACGGGTAGGGTACGGGTATCGGGTACCAAATTGCGACCTCTGGGATGAAGCCATGTAGGAACTTGAATTGTGAGAAGAGACAAGACGTTGGGAAATGAGTGACAAACGGTTACTCACCAGTGACTCACGGTCTACTTGTACCCGTACCCGGCCGCACCAGGGTCGCAAACGGGTACCCGTACCCGTACCCGGCCGTGTACGGGTAGCCGAGTATCGGGTAGGGTACGGGTATCGGGTACCCGGTTGCGACCTCTGATGCGCGGATATCCACCATCATGCTCGGCGAAAGATAATAATGTGCCTTAATAGTAGAGAATGTTTTCAGCTCCTCAAAATGCACGAGGCAGCAGCCATGCACCTCCGCTACTAACCTCTGTTATGAATGGAGGTCGGCACGACAACACAGTAGGACTGTGCGTCGATCTCCCAACGCATCAGCAGCCCTTTGTACTCTATGAATATTTCTAGATTTTAAGCTTTCGTGACTGCAAGGATTCATATACTTAGGTTTTTTCGGTAAAGTCACGTAGGTAAACATTTTAAATTAATAAAAGTAAAATAAAAATCACGACGTTTCGGAGGCAACACAAGCTTCCGTCTTCATGTGGATACAGGATACAGCTATCATGCTGTGACGGTTCCACCTGAAGACGGAAGCTTGTGTTGCCTCTGAAACGTCGTGATTTTTATTTTATTTTTATTTTATTAATAAAAAAATTTTACCTACGTGACTTTACCGAAAAATCTATGAATATTGACGCCATTGGAGGCCAATCTCGTTCAAGCGTCTCATCCTCCCATTGCAATCGCTGCCACTCCTCTCGGCTTGACCCCAAATCTCGATCGGCCAGGGGAGTATCTGGTTTGCCTTCCCGTACATGCACAGGTGCAGTGAGGCACACCGCGTCAAGTGAGAGTGGTTTACACCTGGGTGACCCCTTAACACACACACACAAGTACCTGCCTCTGGAAGACGAGATAAAGCATCCGCATTGGTGTGGCGAAACCCCTTCCTGTGGACCACCTCACAGGTGAATTCTTGCAGCCTTTCAACCCACCTGGCCATCTGGCCAGAGAGTTGGTCAATACGTAACGAGTACTGAGGTGCTGCGTGGTCAGTCCTCACTGCAAATCTCCGTCCGTATAGGTGTGGGCGAAACTGTTGCAACAAAATGCACAATGGCCGGGAGTTCCCTCCTGGTTACGCAGTAGCGTTGTTTGGCGGATGACAATGCCTGCCTGCCATACGGAATCACTACCTCTTTCCCCAATTGTACCTGAAATAGGATATCCCCAATGCTCACCGCTTGCATTCGTATCTAGCGTGAAGGCAATGAAAAATCTGGGTATGCCAGTGGTGGCGCATCTGTGAGGAGCGTCTTCCATATCCCATTGGAACTGCTTTTGCAATGGCTGCGAAATTCTGTACGAATCGACGGTAGTAGGAAACAAAACCTATAAATCTTCTGACATCTGACACAGATACGGGGGTTGGATCAGTCGCCACTGCCGTTGCGTTGGCTATGTGCTTCAGGTATCTGACAGAAGGCTGTGCCAGATGGCATTTAGAAGGCTTAAGTTTAAATTGTGCTTCCCTGATACGTGAGAAAACCAACCTCAGTCGGTGTAAGTGTTCTTGGAAGAATCGTCCGAACACGTTTACGTCGTCTAAATATATCAGGCAAACGTCCCATTTCGGACCTGTTAGTACTAGTTCCATGAGCTGCTGGAATGTGGCTGGGGCCGTTTGTAATCCCATGGGGAGACAGTTAAAATGGAATAACTTCTGAGGTGTCCTAAAGGCGGTCTTGTTTTTTTAAATCATCATCCAGCGGTAGCTACCAAAACCCAGATGATAGGTCCAATGTAGAAAAGTAATTGGCGCCCGCCAAGAAGTCTAAGGACTTGTCAATCCGCGGTAGCGGATAGGCGTCCGTTATCTTGACCTTATTTCGTCGACAAAAGTCGACGCAAAACCGCAATGAATCATCTTGTTTCTTTACCAGGACGATAGGGGCTGCCCCATGGGCTCGTGGATGGCGAAATAATATCATCTTTTAACATGTCGTCGATCGCATCTTGTACAAGCTTTCCTGACCAGCCATCTTGCCTTCCCGCAACTGTTGTAGGAGTAGCGTTACCGCCTCCATGAGTTGATCGACTCGGTCCACCCAGGGCCTCCTTCTCTCGCAGGGTGGAGGGCTCTCAGACGAGTCGCTCCTCGCCTTTCGCCGTCTTCTTATGGTTCGAGGAGACGTCCCGACTCCGTCTGTAGACCGTGCTGCTGTCTCCAGATCGCTGGGATCTCAGTCGGGGTCCTTTCGGTTACCACGCCGAGGCATCGTCGCGATGCTACCACTGCCACCAGTTGTAATGAGTCCACTAGACGAAGATTGAGATGACACACTCTTCTTGATTTTACGCACGAGCTCACACTGCATGCGACCACTCCACTCCAAATCCCACCAGGAAGCGCCCCGATCGCCCCGCCTCATCCGGTGATGTCACCGCTCTCCCTTGGGTGTTCCTCTCTCTCACGCCCCGCCTTCTCTCTCCTTTTCTTTGTGACGTCATGGTTAACAGGAACGTGGAATCCCATGGGTATTTATACCCCCGGATCGTGTAAGTATTTGTATAGAGACCCATACCCACAGAAAGTCATCTTCATAGAGACCCATACCCAGGGACCCACAGAAACCCATACTCAGAGACACATACTCAGAGATCCATCTCATAAAGAACCATATAGAACCACAGAGACCCATGCTCATAAAGACCCATACTCAGGGAGCCACGTAAACCCATACTCAGAGACCCATACTCATAGAGACCCATCTCACAAAGAACCACATAAACCCACGGAAACCCATACTCAGAGACCCATACTCGTAGATACCCATCTCACAGAGAACCACATACACCTACTGAAACCCATACTCAGAGACCCATACTCATAGAGACCCATCTCACAGAGAACCACATAAACCCACGGAAACCCATACTCATAGACCCATACTCAGAGACCCATCTCATAGAGAACCACATAGACCCAGAGAGACGCACACTAAAACTAAACTATGTTCATTTTTCCTGGTGTAAGGTCCCACTTAGCTGTGCAGCTCGTTTTCAGAAGTGGTCCCTGGCTATCACAAACGATCGCTCATCGTACGGACAATTACGACCGGATGAATACTCTGAACGCATGACGTTGATTATAAATGTGGAGGAAAAAACCGGAACATGCAAACTCCAAACATACAGCAGCTGGCGTCAGGGTTGGGGTCGAACCCGCGACCTCCTGTAGACCAGGCGAGGTGATTAACATTTCTCCACCCGTGGCGCCCCAAATGTTGTGAGTTCCTACTCACCACCTCCACAATGTCTCCCCCGTCTCCAATGGCAGAGCAGCAACGAGAAGAGACGAACGTTGGCACGGCTTTGTATTGAACTGAGCCGAGATATTTGTTAGAAGTAGGGGAGAGATATGCCGTGGGGGGGGGGGGGGAGGGGAGTCCCAAGTGGAGCAGTCCCCATTCACTCACCTACCCACTCATGACACCACTCACTCACCCATTTACTCACTCACCAACTCACTACACCACTCACCCACCCACCCACTCACCCACTCACGCACTACTCACTCACTCAGTCACCCACTCACTCACCCACCCACCCACTCACTCACCCACTCACTCACTCACTCACCCACTCACTCACCCACTCACTCACTCACCCACTCAGTCACTTGTCGGGGTCGCTGGCCCCCGAAGTCCCTCCGTGCTCCGGGCTTATGGCAGGGGCTCTGCCGTGCGCCGACCCCTCGCTGCTCTGCGAGCAGCTGCTGCCGTCGCTGGGCTCATCGCCCGACGGCTCCCCTCCCTGGTCCGTCCCTCCGCGAGCTCGTGTGAGAGGCATAGCTCGCCGACCGCTCTCGTTCACCTGCAAACGCTGCGTTGTCTCTCCACGGATCACGCGCTATTTAACGGGGGTCAGGGGTCGGAGGGCGGATGACGCTGCCCTCACGTACACAGCTCCCCGCGGCACTCACTCACCTGGCGAACCACTGTGTACACCCGCGCACCCACACGCTCTGCTCCCCGCGGCACTCACTCACCTGGCGAACCACTGTGTACACCCGCGCACCCACACGCTCTGCTCCGCGCGGCGCTCACTCACGTGGCGAACCACTGTGTACACACGCTCACCCACACGCTCACACTGCTCGACAAGATCACGCGAGGCCACGCTTCGCTATTAATGATTTATTACCTGCTACCTGGTAACTAATGTTGAATCAGTGAGTCGACGAGGCTGGCCTATTCCACTAAACCTGTACCTATTCCCTATCCATCGGCTATTATCCTACTTCACCTTCTTACTCCCTATTAGATGCCCACGGCGGTTCATTGATCCCGTACTCGCAGCGTGCCTCGATGCGTCTCACGGACGTTCGGGTCGCTGGAATGGAAAGCGTCCTGTCGCCTGGCGCTGGAGAGAAGAGCCTGATTTCCCCTTTGCGCCCCCTATTTATCCTCCCTACCTCAAAAGGATGCTGCGCTGAACAATGGGCTCGCGCACCTCGAGCACGCGCACGGCGGTTCCGGGCGCTTTTGATATGCTAATCAGTGAGCGGCGTGCGCAGCGTAAATCCTAATTAATCCCTTACCCTTCCTAACAATGGGGCCTGCGCGCTCAAGCGTAATGATCCCAACCCTCCATGACTATGCGCAAGAGCCCCTGCGGTCCCGCTATTCATGCTGTCCCCTCCCTCCTCCGCCTGTCTCGTCGACCCGTGGGGGTGTGTGTGAGGGGATGCGCCTCAACCGCGGTGGCCGAATGCCCCACGCCGCGACCACACAATATTAAGGCTGGTCGCAGCGCCGCGGCGCAACGTAGCACGGGGGAGGTCGTCCAATTCCCTGATCGCCGGAAACCGTGAGAGTTAATCCCGATAAGGGTTTCTCGGATAAAAACCGGCCGATCAGGTGATCTCCCTTTCCAGCTCTATGGGTGGGGGAAAATGCGTGCGGGTGTGTTCATGTGAGGTGAGGTGCGGGGGGCGAGGGGTTGGCTCCGTTGCTTGGTGGTGGCGAGGTCGGGGATGGGGCGCCTGCCGAACGGCTTCGTGGCGGCGGCATCACACACTCACTCAATCACCCACCCACTCACCCACCCACTTACTACACCACTCATACACTTACTCATTCACTCACCGACTCACTCACTCAATCACTCACGCAATTATTCACTCACTCACCCACTCACTCACTTATTCACCAACTCTCACTCACCTATTCACTCACTCATGCACTTATTCACTAATTCACTCACCTACTAATTAACTGAAACCCAATCACCCACTCACCCACCCATATCAATCACTCACGCACCCACTCACTCACCCACACACTCAACCCAATCACTCACCCACCTACTCACTTGTTCAAGGCGGCCGTGTTTACTAAACTATAAACTAAACTCTTTTTTATTTGTAGCAGCTAAGGCCCACCGAGCTATGGAGCCTGGCTATCACAAATGATCGCAGCTCAACGAAGTGACTGATATCAGCATCATCATCATCACGTGGAAATTTATTGCAACCAAATACTCTAAACGCACGATTCTAAATGTGGAAGGATAAATCGGAGGATCCGCAGAAAAAATCCACGTGACCACATGGAAAAAGAGAGAGAACACACAAACTCCAGATATACAGCAGCAGGCATCGTCAGCGTCAGGATCAAATCCACAAACCTCCTGCGTACACGGCGAGGTAGTCAACATCTCTGGGTGGATTTCGGTCACGGTACGAGCGATGTTGAATTACGTGGAGAGTTTCAGTCGTGCCGCCCACTCCACTTTATTTTATCTTAGCACGCACGGATGGACGCACGGACGCACGCACGGACGCATGACCGCATGGACACACGCACGGACGCATGACCGCACACGGATGCACGCACGGACGGGCGACCGCACGGACGCACGCACGAACAGACGTATGCACGGACGGATGCACGACCGCACAGATGGACGCACGGACAGACGCACAGATGCGAGGCAAACACGTCCGACGTCTCCATCTTGTGCTCGCACTCAAAGGCGCTCATTGCCATGGCGATGAGCGGGGGCCATACTACTGCATAGCGCCGCACCGACTCACTCGTTTGACGGGGCTGAGTTGACCGGGAGAGGGGCAGGGGAGGCCCTCCCAGGTACTGGTTTAGAAAATCATCGTGGCCGGCATTGGCGGTGGTGGCCGTGTGCGGGAATTGAATCCGGGTCACCATGGTCCAGAGCGCGACGCAGCGGTAACCGCCACGCCACTCACGTGTGCACACACGCACACGCGCATGCGAGAGATGTTTCGCCCCCCCCCCTACTACAGTAGCAGCCCCATTTTTGTACTCCCACGTAAACCCCATGACAGTGTGTCGCTACGGTAACGGCGGCCATTTTAAACTCAAAGATGGTAGAATGTCGCGACAGTAACCATTTGAAACCCCATGAGTAGATTGTCGCTATGGTAATGGCGGCCATTTTAAACCCCAAGACGGTAGAATTTCGCCATGGTAACAGCGGCCATTTTAAATTGCACACCAGTAGATTGTCGCTACGGTAACCATTCATTACTCCACGACAGTAGACTGCACTATGGTAACGGCGACCATTTGAAAGCCCATGACAGTAGATAGTCGCTATGGTAACGGTGGCTATTTGAAACCCCATGACAGTAGAATGTTGCTACGGTAACGGCGGCCATTTTAAACCCCATGACAGTAGTCACTACGGTAACGGCGGCCATTTTAAACCCCATGACAGTAGAATGTTGCTACAGTGGCGGCCATTTTAACACCACAACAGTAGAATGTCGCTACGGTAACCATTTGAAACCACATGACAGTAGATAGTCGCTATGGTAACGGTGGCCATTTTAAACCACATGACAGTAGATTGTCGCTACGGTAACGGCGGCCATTTTAAACCCCATGACAGTAGATTGTCGCTAGGTAACGGTGGCCATTTTAAACCCTAAGATGTTAGAATGTCGTCACGGCCACGGCTGGCATTTTAACTCTGCTTTACTGCGGTCACTTCAACACCAAACAGACGCGTTAACTACACACACACTCACACACGCGTTAGCCATCGCAACGCTACTACAGTAGCCATTATAACTATTTTAACTATTGTGGTGATGTTGGTGGTGGTAGTGGTGGTTGTGGTGGTTGCAGTGGATGTGGCTGTGGTGATGGCGGTGGTTGTGGCAGTTGCGGTGATGGCGGTGGTTGTGGCGGTTGTGGTTGTGATGGTTGTGGTGGTCGCAGTGGATGTGGCTGTGGTGATGGCGGTGGTTGTGGCGGTGGTTGTGGTGGTTGTGGTGCTTGCGGTGATGGCTGCGGTGGTTCCAGCGGTGGTGGTGGCGGTTGTCATGGTGACATCTCCGCCCCTGCCCCCCACCCCTCCCCGCCGCTCTCTACTGAGCGAGCGAGTCGGTCGCTCTGATGGGGCCGAACCCCAGCGGCGTGCGGATGTTGCGTCGATCCTTCTCCGCCTCCAGCTCCTCGTCGTAGTGCTCTTCGTCGTCGTCCGCTCCACCACCTCCTCCTCCTCGCCCTCTCCCACCTCCACCTCGTCGTCCGCCACCGCCGCTGTAGCAGTCGCCCTCCTCCTCCTCCTCGTCGTCGACGTCGTTGTCGTCGCGAGCGAACTCCCCGTTGTCGCAGCCCACGCCGCTCTCGCTGCGGCCGTCTTCGTCGTCGTCGTCGTCGTCGTCCCCGGAGCGGCTCCCCCTGGCCGACAATGAGGGCCCAGGGCTGCCGCCGCCGCCGCCGTCGTCCGAACCGCCGGCGCTGCTGCCCCGCGGGCTGGAGGGGCGCGACACCGCCGGGGACGGGGGCACCGACGCGGGGCGGGGGTAGCGGAAGCCGGACGTCTGGTGTGGGTAGAGGTGGGAAGGGGTGGGGGGGGGGCAAGAGGAGGAGGTAGGAGACAAGAGGGAGGGGGGGGGGGTTGTACGTGGTCAGCGCACCGCACTATGAACCCGGCGACCCGAGTTCCAATCCCGCTGTTGGCCACCAACACTGGTGATGGGAGGGAGGGAGCGGAGGGGAGGGAGGGGAGGGAGGGAAGTGGAGGGAAGAAGGGAGGGAAGGAGTGGAGGGAGGGGAGGGATGGGAGAGATGGGAGGGGAGGTGAGGGAGGGGAGAGGAGGGAGGGAAGTCGAGGGAGAGAAGAAGGGAGGGAGGTAGTGGAGGGAGGGGAGGGGAGGGAGGGGAGTGGAGGGGGTGGAGGGAGGAGAGGGAAAGAGTGGAGGGAGAGAGGAAGGGGAGGGAGGGAAGTAGTGGAGGGAGTGGAGGGAGTGGAGGGAGGGAGAAGAGGAAGACTCACCTCCTCATACTCAGAGAGTTCGTACTTGAACTTGTCAGGAAACGCCTTGGCCAGGGCCATGTGTCGAGCGTGGGAATAATACTACACACACACAGACAAAGATTCCCTGTAAGCCTTGACAGACTGTTGGGGCAAGTGCTGTTAGCGAGCACACACATAGTGAGACACAGCTACACACAAGCAGAGTTACACACACAGCTACAAACACACAACTACACAAGAACAACCGCCATTCGCCACCAAGTGGCGGTGACATCACCACGATGCTTGTGCCAGGCTATGTGCACGTTGAGGCCACGTGAAGTGTCGAACGCCCACTGGCAAGAGGTCACGGGGCAGACCCAGGTGCCACGGGTCGACTGACTGAGATGACTGGCTGATGCACCACCTGTGCCCCCTACTGTGCCAACTTGCTGTGCTTTAGCCACCCGGTGTTCCGCTCGTTGTTGTGAGCGTCGCTCCTCCGCCCTCCGTTGTTGTTGGAGGGCGACTGCCTCCAACTGCCCAGTAGCGTCCTTCACGAGCCTCCTCCACAGAGGCCGATGGTGCCAGTCATCGGCAAGTCCACTCAGCTCCACATCCTCTTGGACCACATCACTCCATCTCTTCTCTAGCCCGTGCCGTGCCTGTTTAGCCCCCTCGATCCGGCCAAACAAAAGCTGTTTAGGCATGCCGTGGCTGGGTATGCGAGCTACATGACCCAGCCAACGCAGCCTTGCCTGCTGGAGGAGCTCACCTATTGGACTTTGTCCAGATCTTTCAAGGATTTGTGAGCTCCTCACACAATCCAGCCTGGTTAAACCCAGGATGAATCGTAAGCAGGCCAGCCTAAATGTTTCTAACCGGCGAAGATTAGGGGGGTCCACGTTTTGCAAGCTTAGAGAAGCCAGAGAATGAATGTGGCCGAGAAGACCTGAAGCTCTGTGTGGAGCGACAGACCAGATAGATTCCATACAGCATTACGCAAATGATGAAAATATAATGCCGTTCGACTGATTTGGAGTGAGACCTCTGCTGTCAAGCCAGAGCCGGTCATGAGCACACTGCCCAGGAATGGGAAACTCTCCACTCCCTCCACAACTGCCCCATCACCAATTGGGAGTTGTGGGGGTGGAGTGTCTGATGGTACAAAATACCCAGGCAGGTGCTTAGTTTTGGTGGGGCTGATGATAAGGCCCCACCTCTTAGTGGCATGCTCCATATTCAGCAGCACCATCTCCAACTCCTCCTCTGAGTGAGCAGCAATCACCAGATCATCGGCATACATAACATGGTTGACCAATAGGCAGCCGTCCCTTGACCACACCCGGGCATCAATCTGCCTCCCATTGTATCTGTACCAGATGGAAATTCCTCCAGTACAGCCATCGAAGGCGTCATGAACTACGTGGTTGAAATAGATTTTAAATAATGTGGGAGTCAGAAGACATCCCCGTCGCACCCCAAGGTGTACAGGGAATTGCTCCGACTCCCAGCTATGTAGTTTTACCCGGCCCACTCACCATCATGAAGGTCCTTAATGATCGTGAGCAGAGAGTCAGGGACTCCGAAAGCATGAAGAGCAACCCAGAGCCCAGGTCTACTGATGGTATCATAGGCCTTGACCAGGTCAATAAAGCAGAGATGTAGATCTTGTTGGAATTCGCTACACCTCTGCTGTAGTAGACAGACAGAAAATATGGCATCTGTGCAGGACTGCCCTTTCCTGAAACCACACCGGGGCTCCGCAAGCCTCTCCTCAGCGTGCCTGGCAAGGCGATGTTGAATAATCCTTGCCAGGACCTTTCCCGGCACACTGACGAGTGATATGCCCCTGTAGTTGTTACAGTCTGTGCGGTCCCCCCTTTTCCCCCTTCTTAAAGAGGGGGACCACCAGGGCATCCTTCCAATCCTGTGGAACCCGTCCACTGGTCCAGACTGTTATGATGCCATGTAGGGCAGTCTGTGCACAAACGCCACCTTCACTCAGCATTTCGCTTGGGAGATCATCTCTGCCCGGTGCCTTTCCTCGTCTCAGACTCTGGATCGCCTTCAGTACTTGCTGAACAGATGGCACCTCATCCAGCTACTCACAGAAAGTGAATACTTCTTCCAATATTTGAGGCACCGCAGCCTCAGTAGGGTAATCCCCGCTTTGCCCCATGATGTTTTCCAGGCTGAGGGATTTACCCTCCCCCAAGACCTCACAGAAATACTCAGCAAATCTGGGGTCGGAGATTGGATCACCGTTCTTTCACCTAATGATGGTGATAGGTGTGGCACGACAAGTAATTTTTTTGATGGAATTAAAGAGGGATTTGTGATCGCGGGCCACTGAGGCAGACTCCATCTCCTCAGCAACCTGTGACCACCACCCATCCTTGCAGCGCCTCACGGCTCTCTGACCCTCCGAGCGAAGGCTGCGGTAAGCCTCCTCATTCTCTGACGTGGGATGCTGTAGACGATGAGAGTGGGCCTGTCGCTTTTTCCCAACCAGCCTGAACACTTCCTCTGTCAGCCAGGGTTTCTCGGGAGGTCTGGACCGTGTACCCAAGGCAGCCATTTCAGTTGCATGAGCCAAAGTCCTAAACCTCGCCCATTTCCCCTCGACATCAGGAGGAATGGGAGACGATGCAAGCCTCAGCTGCAAGCTGTGATTAAATTATTGCTTGCAACTTTCATCAGCTAGCCGAGACCAGGCCGCTATAGGTTTGAATGGGGTCCTGGGCATACACCCACCATCGGAGTGGAAGAATGGCAGGCACATCTTACAGATGACAAGTCGATGGTCAGTGGACAGATCAACTCCATAGTAGGTCCTGGTGTCAAGGACATGGGCCTGCATCTGCTGTTCCGTCGCTATGTAGTCCAGCAGATGTTCTTGCTTGGACCCGCCATGCATCCATGATGTTGTGTGGATGGGCCGATGCCGGAACAGCTTGTTGGTAATTACAAGCCCATGGACTGCACAAAAGCCTAGCAGCCTCCTGCCGATGTCATTGAGCTGACCTGGCCCATGCCTTCCAATCACTCCAGACCAGGTGCCAGCATCATCACCAACTCGGGCATTGAAGTCACCCAACAAGATGACTGTATCCTGAGGGGCCACTTTAGCGAGCACCTGTGACAGGAGGTCATAGAAGGCATATGACTCTACGGCCTTGCCTGCATCCCTCCACGGCCGTTCGTCTTCAGTGGGGGCATAAGTAACCACGACCACCATTCCTCACCTCTGGTTGATGGGAAGGTGAGCCCACAGTAGCCTGGAGCTTACAGCTTTCCACACCTCAACACCACTCTCCCACGCCCCCTTCATTCTTTTGTTCAGAAGAAGAGCTACTCCCTGTTGTTTGGCAATCTCCTGCCCCGAGTAGAGGACTGTCCACCCCTCATGGTGGCAGGAGCTAGAGCCGGTCCACCGTCTGTCCAAAATACCACAGAGATCCAGGCGGTACTGGTCCAGCTCCCGACAGAAGAGTGGCAGCCTCTCCTCCGCGGTGAGCGTTCGAACATTACACGTGGCCACACACAGTGGCTTTTTGCTGTTTCTGGAAGAACCCCGAGGGTAAGGATTCAGTCTCCTGGCTCCGCCAAATGGGGTTTGGCCAGGAAACGTCATAGACGCCTGTTCCCCCAGGGACAGTGGTAAATTGATTGAAGGTGGAGGGGTTACCAGCCCCTCACACCCATCCAGAGCCCCCTCCGGCCGCTGTGGTGGCTACAAACGCCACGAGGGGAATGGCCAACCGCAATTGGCCCTCCCCCCATGGCACTGCCCACCACAGCGTTGCCGTCCGGCCCCAATGAGGAGCTAGACAAACACAGCTACTCACACGGCTACACACAGACACATATGTAGTGCCATAAGAGGGGCCACTGTGCCAGCCCAAGAGAGGAGGGGCTGCTGGGGGCTCTGGGATCCTAGGCAGCTAAGCCCTCGGCACCAGGCGCTAGGATTCCAGGCACCCCAGACAGTTAAGCCCCTTGGCGCCACCAACGGGGGGGGGGGGGGGGGGCTGTGTGTGCTCTGTGGGACATCTGGGGGCGCACACAACCCCACCCCTCGTTGGGGACGAGGCATAAAAGGGCAGCTCCCTGGACGATCGGGGCAGTCACAGCTCAAGACCCAAGACCCGCCAGCCAGCCAGCTTAGGACCCTGTACCCCCTCGTCCCGCTTGTCCTTGTAAGGGCCGGGATGCTGTGGGGGCCAGTGGTGGGATTCTGGGACTCCCGGCTCTACGTCCTTGTAAGGGCGAGTTCCGTGGAAGCCAGAGTCCAATTAGCCTCCCCTAGGGTAATTGTAGCCGGAGGACCCCAGAGCGTAGCCAGAGTAGTGTATCTAGGCTGTGTACCTAGGCTGTGTACCTAAGCTGTAACAGAGTATCAGGACTGTTGGAGTGTTGTATTGTAATAAAGAAGTTACCTCTACAAGTGTCTCCGGAACCCATTACACATACACAACGACACACACAGAGTTACACACACAGTAACACAAATACAGCTACACACACAGCTACACACAGACACATACACAACGACACACAGTAACACAAATACAGCTACATGCAACACAACTACACACACAGAGTTACACAACCACAGCTACACACACACAGTTAGGTAGATACAGACACAGTTACATCGACACAAACTGGTATCTACCAAACCTCCCCTACCACCCCTCCCCCTACCCGAGCATGGCTCCCTCCGTCTACCCCCTCCGTCTAACCCCCCTCCATCGACCCCCTCCGTGTACCCCCTCCATGTACCCCTTCTGTCTACCCCCCCCCCTCCGTCGATCCCCTCCATGTACCCCCTCCATCTGTCTACCCCCTCTGCCTACCCCCCCTGGTGTACCCCCTCCATCTACCCTCCCTCCACTCCCCCCCCGTGTACCTTGCCCAGCTGTACCCCCTGGTGTACCCCCTCGGTCTACCCCCTCTAACGGTGTACCCCCTCTGCTCCCCCCCCCCCCCCGTGTACCTTGCCCAGGTATCTCCAGTCCAGTAGGTCCGACAGTCACTTGCGGTGCGGTTGTGCTGGATGATCCGCTGTACCCCCTCGTGTACCCCCTTGTGTACCCCCTAGGTCTACCCCCTAGGTGTACCCCCTAAGTCTACCCCCTAGGTCTACCCCCTAGGTCTACCCCCTCTACCCGTGTACCCTTCCACCCCTCTCCCCGTGTACCTTGCCCAGGTATCTCCAGTCGAGCAGGTCGGACAGACGCTCGGTGCGGTTGCGCTGGATGATTCGCTGCCGCCGCGTCTGCTGCGAGAAGCTGTAGAGGAAGGACGTGAGCTGGTTGCACGACTCGTCCGCAGAGCGGTAGCGGCGGTCCAGGATGTAGATGCCTGGCGGGAGGCAGGGGGGGGCAAGGGGGGAGGGGGGAGGGGGGGAGGGGGGGCAAGGGGGGGCAAGGGGGGGGCAAGGAGGGGGGCAAGGGGAGGCAATGGGGGGCAAGGGGGGGAAAGGGGGGGCAAGGAGGGGGATGGGGGGGCAAGGGGGGGGCAAGAAGGGGGGGCAAGGGGGGGCAGGGGGGGGACAAGGGGGAGGGCAAGGGGAGAGGGGGGGCAAGGGGGGGCAAGGGGGGGGCAAGGAGAGGGGCGGGGGGGGAGGGGGGAGCAAGGGGGGGCAAGGAGGGGGGCAAGGGGGGAAAGGGGGGGCAAGAAGGGGGGGCAAGGAGGGGGGCAAGGGGGGACAGGGGAGGTTTGTGAGCAGCTGAGTTGGTGTGGGTTGAAGAACTGATGTCTGTGTGTTAGTGTGTAAGTGTCAGTGTGTTTGTGTGTTAGTGTGTGGGTGTTAGTGTGTGTGTTAGTGTGTGTGTGTACACCCAGGATCCCATTCCAACCAAAAGTGGCCTGGTCTCAGTTAGCTGATGAAAGTTGCAAGCGAGAATTTCATCATCGCTTGCAGCTGGGGTTGGCATCGTCCCCCACTCCACCTGATGTCGAGGGGAAATGGGCGAGGTTTAAGACTGTGACTCATGCAGCTGCAATGGCTGCTTTGGGTACGCGGTCCAGACCTCCCCAGAAACCCTGGCTGACAGAGGAGGTGTTCAGGTTAATTGAGAAAAAGCGTCAGGCCCACTCTCATCGCCTACAGCATCCCACGTCAGAGAATGAGGAGGTTTACCGCAGACTTCGCTCAGAAGTTCGGAGAGCCGTAAGGCGCTGTAAGGATGGGTGGTGGTCGCGAGTTGCTGAGGAGATGGAGTCTGCCTCAGTGGCCCGTGATCACAAATCACTATTTAACTCCATCAAAAAAGTAACCTGCAGCGCCACACCTATTACCATCATTAGAGGAAAAAACGGTGATCCAATCTCCGACCCACAGGAACAGGTTTGCAGATTTGCTGAGCATTTCTGTGAGGTCCTGGGGGAGGGAAATTCTCTCAGCCAGGAAAACATCATGGCACAAAGTGGTGATAACCCTGCTGAGGCTGCAGTGCCTCAAATATTGGAAGAGGTCACCCCCTGTGAGTGGCTGGCTGAGGTGCCAGCTGTTGAGGAAGTACTGAGGGCGATCCGGAGTCTGAGACCAGGGAAGGCATCGGGCAGAGATGATCTCCCAAGCGAAATGCTGAGGGAGGGTGGCGTTTGTGCACAGACTGCCCTATATGACATCATAACAACAGTCTGGACCACTGGACGGGTTCCGCAGGACTGGAAGGATGCCCTGGTGGTTCCCCTCTTTAAGAAGGGGGACCGTACCGACTGTAACAACTACAGGGGCATCTCACTCCTCAGTGTGCCGGGTAAGGTCCTGGCAAGGATTATTCAACATCGCCTTGCTAGGCACGCTGAGGAGAGGCTTGCGGAGCCCCAATGCGGTTTCAGGAAAGGGCGGTCCTGCACAGATGCCATATTTTCTGTCCGTCTGCTACAGCAGAGGTGTAGGGAATTCCAAAAAGACCTACATCTCTGCTTTATTGACCTGGTCAAGGCCTATGATACCATCAGTAGGCCTGGGCTCTGGGTTGTTCTTCGTGCTTTCGGAGTCCCTGACCCTCTGCTCACGATCATTAAGGACCTTCATGATGGTGAGCGGGCCCGGGTAAAACTACGTGGCCGGGAGTCGGAGCCTTTCCCTGTACACCTTGGGGTGCGACAGGGATGTCCTCTGGCTCCCACATTATTTAACATCTATTTTGACCGCGTAGTTCGTGAAGCCTTCAATAGCTGTACCGGGGGAATTTCCATTTGGTACAGATATAATGGGAGGCTGATCGACGCCCGGGTGCGATCAAGGGATGGCTCCCTATTGGTCAACCACGTTATGTATGCCGATGATTTGGTAATAGCTGCTCACTCAGAGGAGGAGTTGGAGACGCTGCTGCTGAGACTGGAGCGTGCCACTAAGAGGTGGGGCCTTACCATCAGCCCCACCAAAACTAAGCACCTGCCTGGGTATTTTGTACCATCGGACACTCCACCCCCACAACTCCCAATTGGTGATGGGGCAGTTGTGGAGAGAGTGGAGAGTTTCCCATACCTGGGCAGTGTGCTTATGACCGGCTCCAGTCTATCAGCAGAGGTCTCACTCCGAATCAGTCGAGCGGCAATATCTTTTCATCGGTTGCGTAACGCTGTGTGGAAGCTACCTGGTCTGTCGCTCCGCACGAAGCTTCAGGTCTTCTCGGCCACGGTCATTCCCTCCCTTCTCTACGCTTGCGAGACGTGGACCCCCCTGGTGGAGCATCTTCGCCGGTTGGAAACATTTAGGCTGGCCTGCCTACGATCCATCCTGGGTTTAACCAGGCTGGATTGTGTGAGGAGCTCACAAATCCTTGAAAGATCTGGGCAAAGTCCCATCAGTGAGCTCCTCCGGCAGGCAAGGCTGCGTTGGCTGGGTCATGTAGCCCGCATGCCCAGCCACCGCATGCCTAAACAGCTTTTGTTCGGCCGGATCGAGGGGGCTAGACGGGCGCGGCACGGGCTGGAGAAGAGATGGAGTGATATGGTACAGGAGGACGTGGAGCTGAGTGGACTTGCCGATGACTGGTACCAGCGGTGTCAAGATCGGCCTCAGTGGAGGAGGCTCGTGAAGGACGCTACTGGGCAGTTGGAGGCAGTCGCCCTCCAACAACAACGGAGGGCGGAGGAGCGACGCTCACAACAACGAGCGGAGCGCCGGGTGGCTAAAGCACAGCAAGTTGGCACAGTAGGGGGCACAGGTGGTGCATCAGCCAGTCATCTCGGTCATCTCGGTCAGTCGACCCGTGGCACCTGCTGGGTCTGCCCCGTGACCTCCTGCCAGCGGGCTTTCGACACTTCACGTGGCCTCAAGGTGCACTTGGCCTGGCACAAGCATCGTGGTGACGTCACCGCCACTTAGTGGCGAATGGCGGTTGTTGTTGTTGTTGTTGTGTTAGTGTGTGGGGAGCGGTGGTGTAGTGATTAGCGCTACGCTGCACTACGAACCTGGCGACACGGGTTCTATTCCCGCTGACGGCTAACACCAGTGATGATTATGTGGTGCCACAGCGACGGGGCCGCTCTGCCGAGCCAGGGAGCCGCCCGGCTTCCACCACCGCACTGCCCCCCATCACCCCCCCCCCCACATAAGCACGCACCCGCACCCACGTAGGGCCTCGTGGTCGGGTCACCTACCCTGAGTTTTCACCCGAGGGCCCCCTCGGGGGGTTACCCCACGGTTTCTCAGGGCCAGGGAATTGGACAGGACCCTTCCCAGGCCAAGTAACACTGCGGCGCCGTGGGCGGATTTGAGATCGCACTGACCACGGCGAGCTCAGAGAGCCCCGCAGTTAGAAACGCATACAAACACAAACACGGGTCAGCAAGGCGGATAGCTGGGATCAGGACCCGGGGCTACTGATTGCTCAAAAGGTCAAAGGCCGGCGGGATCGCAAAAGGGCGGGAAATCCTAGGCTCAGGATTGGTCGAGAGACCAAGGCGGTCGGGACGGGGGCACCTAGCCTTTGATGTGGATAGTTTAAAAGAAAACGCAGGGGCAGTAGGGGGTCTCTTCTTCTGGAGTTTGGACACGGAGTCAGCGACAAGGGAGTCATCGGGTGAGCCGCTAGATTGTCCGCAGGACGATCTGAGCGCCGCAAGGTCACCAAGAACTACAGACGGTATCGTATTACGCGCCTTACAACACCTCAGAGCGGAGAGTAGGATCCGTAGGAGAGGGTTAGTTCGGGGTAAGGACGAGGAGGAAAGCGGTTTAACAGAGAGTGCAGCATAGAATAGGGCTGCACGCCACCAGAGAGTGGGTTAGAAGTGCCTTGCTGGCCCGCACACACACACGGGTGGCTCGGTGGGTTAACAAGGGCTAATAAAATCTCGAGCGTAGTAACAAAACCGTGTTGTTGGGTGTTTTTGAACGTGGTATTAGCGTGCACTGCATTCGCGGGTGTGTGGTCGTTGTATGCGTAAAGGCCGTGGTCTCTGTACGATTGTGCGGGTACGTAGGTGTGTGTGTTAACGCCCGGGGAGAGCACTTTTGTGTGTTGGCGTGCCTACGCAGCCGTGTGAGAGGAGAATCGTCCTTGTACGATACTTGTGTTGACGTGCACGCGCGAAGTGCGGGAGGGGACGAGTCGTTGTGTCGGCGTGTGCCCCGCTTGCGTGTGCTCGTTACTTGCGTAAAGTGCGGCGCGGTGGTGGGTCCCTGACCCCCAACCCCGCGGCTCGAGCGCGTAATCGGCTGCGCATTGTTGTACGGTTTGTCTCGCGCGCACGGCGGCGGCAACTTGAGTCGTTGTGTCGGCGTGTGCCCCGCTTGCGTGTGCTCGTTACTTGCGTAAGCTCTTGGCGTGCGTAATCGGCGTACCCCAGGTGCGCGATCGTAACGTGAGCGGCCAGCGCGGCGCAGAGCGGCGCAAGAGTGGGTATCGCGTGTGGAGCTGTATGTGTGTGCGCGCACGTTCACGACGTGTGTAATACAGGTGCGCGACCCTAACGTGAGTGGTCAGTGTTGGGTGAGTGCCGTGCAGAGCTGTGTGTGGGTGTGCGCGTACGTAATTAACCATGCCTGCTACGCGGACCCGCGGTGGAGGGGAATCCTCGGGCGACGGCTCCCACACCATGGGTGAGGGAACCTAGCAGCGGTTCGCTTAGCAGCGGGGGGGCGCTTGATGATGTTAGCCCGGCCGTTAGCATTATCGAGGGAGGGATCTCGGGGGCTAGCGACCCCCACAAATTGGTGTCGGAAGCGGTACGGACCCCCGCGTTACCTCACGCTAAAATAAGACTAATATTTACCGGCCGGGGGGCCCCTTCGTGGAAGGCATTCGCCCGCAATCTCTTAGGGGCCAAGGAAATTAATGGATGGACGGACGCGCAGGCAGTACGTCAACTTAATATGAATCTTGATGGGCGGGCAGTCGATTTTGTAGAAGCGTTACCCGCGAGCGCACAGACACAGCTAGAGGAGCTGATGCGCCGACTCGATCAGCGTTTTGGCACGCGTGACGAGGAGGAAGCAAAATCGGCCTTAGAGGCGCGCCGTCGCCAACCTGG